GTGAACGGGTTCCCAGAGATGTCCAGTATTTTCAAGCTCTTCAGATGCTGCAGAGATTCAGGAAGGGCGGACAGGTTGTTATCGGACAGATTCATGTCGTTCAGGTTGTCTAGGGATGATATTTCATCAGGTATTTCCAGCAGACAGTTTCTCGACAGAAAAAGAATGCTCAAGTTCTTGAGTCTTCCTATTTCCCTGGGGAGAGCGGTGATTTTATTGCAGCAGATTTGCAGAACTCTCAAATTGTTTAGCAGCTGTATGTTTCTGTCTATTTCGATAATGTTGTCCTTGCACAGGTATAGATACAGCATTGTCTTTCGTGTGTACACATCGCTCTCCGTTTCCTTCACTTTTTTAGTGGCTATTCTTATCCTATCTTGTGGCTTGCTTAGGAGTGCTCCCATGAAAATTCTCCTGCGGTATTAGACATATAACCCGGGAGATTCTATTGGTCATATTTAGGAGTAGAGTATTTGATAGGGACAGCGCGCCAACCAATAGAAAACAAAAATGCTGTTAGAGCCATGCTGCATTGCCAATGCAAACTAAACAGAACATAGTCAGCGCAATTACTGATCACCATTATAGGTAGTAAATTAAAAAGAGTTATAGGTTAAATGAGGCATATCTACGAATTTACTCTAGATTAACTCTAGTTTAGTTTTAAGTTATCTTGGGTGCTGCTTAGCGCTTCTTCTTTTCATTTTGTTTGTAACTGTCTCTTATTTCTAGCACTCTAGTAATATAAACTATTCGCAAGCTGTAGACTATATGAATGAGAATAAAAAGTTTTAATATTTGCATGGAGCTGAGTAAGTTGGAGTTAGGACGGGTTATAAATACAAAAGACAGCAAGAAGCTGCTTGCGGAGATAGATTCAATTTGCGGCTTTAACGGATACAACTTCTTCCCAGGCGCGCAGCCTGTGACTATGTCGCGAGAGTCGCTGGTTGAGCTAAAACAGAAAGACTACTATGTGTGCGAAAAGAGCGACGGCCTGCGGGCTCTTCTTTACGTTAAGCAAATCAAAAACAAAGCGTACTCTTTTTTTATCGACAGAAACTGCACCTTTGTCCATGTGGAAAAGCCGTTTCTGCCAAACGGATCATTTTTGATGGACGGTGAGATCATAAAAGACAACACAGGCAGATACATCTTCATGGTCTTTGACATGCTAATGTGCCAGAGTGTTTCCATCTGCCAGAAGACACTTGTGGAAAGACTGACAATGGCCAACTGATACGTCTACCAGCTGGAAAAGTGGAGCAAGTCTCTATCTAAAAAAGCAGAGATAAAAGATTTTGACGTAAAAATAAAAAGTATGCACAAGAGCTACGGGCTAGGAGAGGTGTACAGACAAATAATTCCCACACTAGAGCACGAGAACGACGGGCTCATATTTACATGCGTAAACTATGCGTACAGGCCAGGGACATGCCCCGCATACTTTAAATGGAAACCGCCGCACCTGAACTCAGCGGACTTTAGAATAAAGAAATCGCCGCTAGCCGACGGTCTCTACAGCCTTCTGGTGCTGGAGAGTGGAAGAGAGGTTTTTTTCGACTGGTACTGGATAGATCCTCTGCTCAAAGACATAGAAGAGAATGCAAATGCAAGAAAGGGAGCAGAGCAGGTAGACCACTACGGAAAAATAGAGAACTTTGACGACCTAGACAACAAGATAGGAGAGTTCTCGTACAAAAGGAAAGAGTACACCATCAATGTAAATGACTACGCGCTGGAAAAGGGAAGATGGTGTCTTCTGCGCATCAGAGAAGACAAAAAGACGCCAAATGGATATAAAACAGCAGTGAGTGTGCTAGAGTCAATTCGAGAAAACTTAACATACAAGGAGCTGGAGGGAAAAATAGAAATAATCCGAAATAAATGGAAAAAGAGAGAAAAAGAGCAGGAAACCATAAAAGAACACAATGAAGAAAGATCAGACCCAAATAAAAGAGCAAAGGTGTCCAGCGAGTAATATAAAAAGCAGCATTTAATAAGAGCATAGTAGATGAAATAGCTAAGATGCACTCTATCGCCATTATTGCACTATATTACTGTAGAGATTCCATGAAGGAACTACATCACATCTGATGTAAAGGCCAATGAATGAACTGGTCTGAAGATAATGTGGTGATTTATTGGTTGCAGGTCTGCAGATGCTGTTCGTTGGATGTTTTCTATACGTCTTAGTGACTTGGGTCAGTATATTTGCCGTCTGGATATCCTTTTCGTTTCTGGTTTCTGAATGTGTTGCATTCATATCCATGCTATCTGAAAGATAAATATATTCATGCTTGTTTTTTTTATTGCTGTAGATTTAGTATATGAATTATATATTAATTTCCGAGATGCTGTAAATTTGATATATGAATTGTAGATTGAATTTACAACAATTATGTTCAAGGTCTAAAATGTTTTCATCCATTGGTGCACTATTTTTCATTTTTATTGGTTAGTTTTTTCGCATGCTTTTATAGCCTGATTTTAAAAGTACGTTATGAAAACAAGAATAATCGCATCATTTCTAGCAATGATTTTCATAGTGTTAGTTGACTGTTCAAATGATTTAGAGAAAAACAAAGAAGAAACCATTAGTAGGGTATATCCTGTTCTGCAAGAAGCAACAAATACAGAGAGCGCTGGCGCCGGAGAGCATGCTGTAAACACCTCCAATCCACCAACTACAGAAAAGCCTTCTGTGCTTAGAGACTTTCTCACGGCACTGCAGGATAAAAATAGCGAACTTAAAAAGATTATGAACGATCATCCTGAAAGTAGATGGGGAGAGCTGCTAAAGAATGTTTCTCACCTACAGATAAACTTGGAGCTTTTCAAAAACGATTTGGACATAAATATATTTTGCAATATGCAGTCTCTGCAAAGTGTTACAATTTGCATAGAAGATGAGCAAGAAATTGCAGGAAGTGAAAAGTCGATTAACTACCAATTTGAGCTAATTCTTATAAAAATTCTTAACATGAAAATCAAAACAATAACTCTGGAATCAGTGGAAATAGACAGAAAACATCTCAAGGCACTTTCTGATATAGGTTCAATTACGTCTCTCCATTTCAGTAACTGCAAAATTCTATGGGATATTTCGGACATAGCCGAAGCAAGAAAAGTTTTCGTAAAAACAATGCAGAGTTTTAAGCTTCTTACTTCTCTTGCAATAACTAATTGCGGGCTGAAAGAGATTTTCATTGGAAAAAGCGAAGTGTCTGAAATGTATAGAGATATGAATGTCAGTAGCATTTTAGAATGTCCGCTCTCTAATATGACTCTGAAAATTGAAGACGAGAATTGTGCTACTGTTCTTTCAATTATTAGCTTGTGCTATAGTGTCAGAAAATTAATCATTTCAAACAACAATCTAGCTGGAAGTTTAAATTTCCTAAAAGCCTATCCCGCTGGCGGCAAACTCGCACTGCTTGAAAAGCTCTCCATATTCAACGAGCCAAAACTGCTTCATTTAGAGACAGATTTCGTTTCCTCCTTTCCTAGTCTTAAGTCCTTGGACCTGATAGGGATAAACAAGGATATAGTAGTTTCAACAGACTTTTTTTCGTACGAACTCCGCCGCATAGAGTACATAAACATCGACTACCATTTATTTGTGCAAATAGGACAGCACGACAGCTTCTTCGTAAAAGAAAAAAAGTGCATAACTGCCTACGCAAAGGGGATAATAGACCCAAGTACTATATGCATGAGAATAACAAGCGAAGCGCTCAACTCTCTACAGAAAGACATAGTAATCAACGCAAAGAGAATGAAGATAATAATATACGCAGAAATAATGGAAAGAAATTACATCAGAAAGATTTCTCTGGTTATTCCAAAGTCTCTGTCTACGGTCAATCTGGGCGTAGAAGTGCACACAGAAAAAAACATTGTAAAAAGCGAAATAGAGAAGATAGTGTATGCCGTGACGAACAAGTACCAAAACATAAAGATACTTACGTTTAAGTTCCCGCTTCCTGAGGTGCTGCAAAAAAGCATAGAAACTAAGTTCCTCAAAAGAATTCCTAACTTGTCTTTCTTCTCCTTCGATAATTTGGTTAAAGATATTCTATTCGAAGGAAGGAGCAAAGAAAACGGATACTACAAAAAAGGAAACAACATAAACACCATTGCGCTTGCCAGAGAAGATGCAGAGGACCCTTTGAAATGGAGCAAACTGAAAAATCAGAACGCGATACTTTATCTTGTGGACACGAGATACTATGAAGTGTGGATAAAGCTTGCGTGCAAGAAACAAGAGGAAAACCAGAACAACTACAAGGTAAGGATGCTTCCTCTTCCCGCCTTCCCAAACAAAAAGAATGATGGGGCTGAAGCCTTCAACACCTACAAAGAAGATGAATTTACAGACCCAAACTTCGATCTGGAAAACTTTATGAAAGAGAACAAGAAGTGCCAGGCCCCCAAATGCAACGCTGAGCTGAAGTGCGATGAGAAAAATGAAGAAATATTTGTAAAAACCAATGTAGTTCTCTACAAGCAAAGAGTAAATGCGCACTCCTTCTGCGTTCTCTCTTGCGGGCACTACTTCTGCATCTCCTGCACCAAGAAAATAGCAAATATTGACTCTGCAACATCTTTAGTCTCGGGACTGGGCATATCAATCCTTAAAAAAGTATCAGAAAAAGTGATAAACAGTATCCCTAGTTCTATAAAAGGCATGTTTAGCGCAAAGCCAGAAGAAGATGGCGATATTACTAATCAGAATCAAGAAATAGTAGAGGCATCGCACAATGAAAAAATAAAAATAACATGTCCGCTGGAGGAATGCAACAGCTTCAACAAGACAGCAATCTACTACTGCACAGATGAAGTGTCGCTGACATCAGGATACACTGAGCAGTACACAACGCTTGAGTAGCTGTTTAGAGCATTAAACATAAGATGTAATGTAGAATAAAAATGGACAGTTTATCTTTTGTCTTATGGTGTCACATATTTTAATATATCGGTGTTTTTGCACAGACTTCTCTCTATTCCTCTGCACTTACATCAATTGGCCACAGCCACAGTAGAATTACCAATAAAAATATTTATTTTTCTGTTCAATTCTTAGGGGCACATTTTTAGTGGATCTTTTATTTCTGCACTATCATTGGTCTATGCTCTACAACGATTTGATGGCTATAAATATGGTTTGCAATCATTAGACATATGTCGTCTTTTAATCTGAAAAGGAAAATTAAATACATAGTCGGTCTAATAATTTTACTTCCAATAGCTGGAGTAATAATTTGGATAAAAGCAGAGTATCAAGCATTTATGGGTAGAATTTCAACAGAAGAGCCATATATTGATCTTGAAGTAGCTAGTGAGTACACTGGAGATTTAAATATAACAGAAGAGAAAGTCTCTGACAGCTTAAACAAAATAGTAGAGCTATATAGCGACACTTGCAGATTATCAGCAGCTGATTCAAATGGAATGTTCAATGTGAATGATTTGTTTGTTAAAGTACTTATCGAGCACTTAAAAGAAGATGTTCTTAGATTTGCAAGAGAATCTTTTACACTGTCTGAGATAATAGAATTTATGACTTCTCCAGAAGAGAGCAGAAATCCATATTTATGCGGTCTTGATTTTAATTCTAGTGCAGCAATACGCATTCCTCCAAGTTTAGCCATCTATACTGATGATATTTTAAGCATTTTATTAACTTTTATAGACCTGCAAGGGGCAGTGCAAAAAGCATTTATTATACAAGATGCCGAACCATCTGCTGATTTTAAGTTTTCAAAGTTCAAATATTTTAGCACTGTGGAACAATTCACACTAAACAATGTGACTTTGCACTCTAATACGTTTAAGAACATGGAGAGTTTTAAAGCACTTATGAATTTGTCAGTTGTTAAAAAAGTAAAATTAGTTGGTGATAGAAGTGTAAAAGTTAGCATAGCTACTTTAAAATCTCTAACAATAATAGAATTGGAGGAAGAAGAAGTTGGATACTTTTTGCGCTCTACAGATAGAAGCTATGAAAAGCTTGATTTGTCAATTTTCGATGTAAATTTAACCAATGCTCAAGCAATTTCTAAGCTATCCTGTCTATCTTCTCTAGTCCGAATAGACTTACGCGGTATAGTGTTTAAAGAAATTCCAGACTTTACCTTCATCAAGAAAGCTACGAATCTGGAAACTCTAAATATGGAGAACATATTCTATGGGTATGACGAGAAGTACGAAGAAAGCTCATTCGCACAAATTAGAAAGAATGTAAATTACTTAAATCTAAGCCAAGTTCAGAAAAAATATAGTACATATACTGAACAAGAAAAGAAAATTATCGACGAGAATAAGAGGGTGGGAGAAGAGATTTCTATTAACACTATTAATGTAACTAAGAACGTTTATTGTGATTTGGGAGTTAGTAATGTTAAAACAGACATAAATATCGATATACATGTTATGTTTCCTCTTGAGATAGGCGATGACTTTTCCAATACTGATTCATACTTTATAGGCTTTTGTTTAGACTTAGAACAGAATTATATAGGTGTTTTGAGTACAGCAAGCTCTAGTAAGCCAGACAAACAATTTCTTATCTATGTTGACAACTTGGTGCTTCCTTTTAGTTCTTGCAAGACAATTCAGCGTGTACTCTTCCAGATCAACCATGAGGTTAAAATATCTGAGCTATTTATAGACAGTCTCATGAAATCAACGTATTTGTATTCTAGCTCTAGCTCTATTGAAAAATTAAGCATTTCATCTACAAAGAGCGCATCTGTAGACATAAACACTATCATTGAATGTGGTAAACACTTTAAAAATTTAAAACAAGTAACATTTCACAACGGTAGAATAACACAGGTGTCTATTTTAGATAAAAATCAAATAGGCGTAGATAATACACCAGAGTACGAAGTATACACAGCCAATGGTGATACTGCAGCAGAAGTAGACTTTATTAGAAATTCTTAGAAAATACACATTTACTCCCTTACATCGCTACTTTATACTCGATGTTGTCACTAAATAAATTTGCATTTATGGATCTCTTAGTATACTTTACAAAGTCTATTTTCAAAATAAAAAAAACTCTTATTATTTTGTATACAGAAAGAGAATTGACACATAATTTAAAAAATATTTTGAATAGTAGAATAAGAAACAAAGGAACTTTTAGAACATAGCATATTGTGTTAATAAAAGATGTTTATGCAACCAATAGTCAACAAGCTTCAATTTTTAAAGAGGATTGTTTTTATTGAACGATTTACTGGCTGTAATAGGACGCTTTATTTCTGCAGTATCATTGGTTCATGCTCTACAACGATTTGATGGCTTAAATATGACTTGCAATCATTAGGCCATGCCCCATATGAAAAGTATAGTAAAGATAGCAGTTTATGCTGTAATCATAATTGCAGCAGTATACATAGTGAATTGGATTAGAAAAGAATACAATAAGTCTGAAGACAGCGGCTTAACAGAATATCCATTTAAAGACATTAATGTGGTTAAGAAAGAGAAAGAAACTGTTGTTCCTACTGAAAACGTTCTAAATGACAATAGACATACTGAAAACATTTTAAATGAAAATAAGAAAGCTGAAGATGTTTTAAATGAAAAGGAACAGCTGATTAAAGAAAAGTTGTGCAAAATTGCACAGCTGCACAGCAGTACTTGTAGTCTATCCGGAGTCAATCCAAGTGAGAAAATTGAGAGAAGCAATTCGTTTGTTAAGCTGGTCACCAAGTCTTTAAGCTATCGTGCTCTTAGTTTTGGCTCTTATTTTGGCTCTTATCCTAACTTTACACTAGACGAAATAATAATCTTTCTAATTACTCCAGCAGAGAATAGAAAACTTTATTCTTGCGGAAACGATACTTTGTTTGACCGCAGCGCGCATATTTCTGTTCCTTCAGAGCTAAAAAACAACAGTGATGACATTTTGAATATTTTATTGACTTTTGTGGACCTGCAAGAGAAGGTGCAAAATGACATTATTGTAACAGGTGTAGCACCATCTGCTGGCTTCAAGTTTTCAAAGTTCAAGTATTTTAGCACTGTGAAAGGTTTTGCATTTTTTAATGCGTCTTTGCACTCGAACACCTGCAAGGACATGGAGAATCTTAAGACAATTACGCGCTTAGGGTTTTATGAAGGAACAGAGCTAGTTGGCGATCCAAGTGTAAAAGTAAACTTGGAAAACCTGAAGTATTTAAGCATAAATAATCTAAAAGGAGAAGATGCTAGCCACTTTTTGTGTTTTACAAAAGCAGAGAATTTAGAACTATCGGTTGAAAATGCAGATTTACCTAATACACAGGGCTTTTTCAACATATCTTCTCTAAAGTCTTTAAAACTAGAAAGGATACTGTTTAAAGAAATGCCAGACTTCACTTTCATCAAGAAAAGTAAGAATCTGGAAACTCTACATATGGACGATGTGTTCTACGGGTATGACGAGAAGTACGAAGAAAGCTTGCTTCCACAAATTAAAAAGAATATAGAGTATTTGAATGTGAGCCAAGTTCAGAGAAAATACAATACATACTCCGAGAAAGAAAAGAAGATTATTGATGAAAACAAGACAGTAGGCAGGGAAATCGCGCCAGAAGTCATTCATGTAAACAGGAATATTTATCAAGATCTGGGGCTTAGTCAAGTCAATGTGGGTAAACGTAGTTGGATATATATTACATTTCCCATTCTCAAAACCAGCAGCTCTTCCTATTGCAATATAGATTCACACGAAATGAGTTTTTCTTTGGAAGGCAGTATATTGTCAATCTCTCTGCACTCAGGTTCTGATAAGTCTGATGCTATTTTCCAAAATATTAATAGCAACTTGGAGCTTCCTTTTGTCTCCTCAACAGATATTAAGCATATAGCGTTATCATTTTATCATAAAATCACACTACCAGAGTCGTTTATGAACACTCTTATAAAGTCGCTGTTTTTATATGAGAAAAGTAAGTCCATTAGACACTTGTATATTAATACAAGAAGCAAAACAGACATAGATACGAATACTATCATTGAGTGTGGTAGACACTTTAAAAACTTAAAGATTATAAAACTTAGTGTCGCCACTCTAACAGATACGCCTATTAAAGACGAAAATAAAGTGGGGGTGAACAATAACCCTGAATACGAGATACGCACAGATTCTAGAAGTGCTACAACAAAAGTAGAATTTTTTAGACAGCCTTAGAAAATGCTGATATAGCCCATTATACTATCTTACATTGGAACTTCCATTTTTTTGAATCTTAGTGCCATTTAGCTAAGTTTCCATAGTGTAAATAAATGCTAAATTGCTCAAACTATTCCACTAAAACGCATAAAAGGCTTGCAATTCAATAAATTGCCAGACATTCACTTATCTTTTTATAGTAAACGCCCAATATATGAATAAGATGGCTCTGCACACTCAGCTTATTTCTTCAATTGGTTAAATTTGTAAACACACCAATAGAAATATTTCTGTTTCTTTTTAACAACCAGTGGCTCATTTTTAGTGGATGTTCTACTGCAGAAATACTATTGGTTCTATGTTTTATAGCTATCAAATCACTATAAATAAAATTTGCACTTATTAAACATATGCTTGATGAAGATGTAATACTTAAGATAGGAATATTCATTATATCCTTTTTCGTAGTGATTTGCATAGGGGTCTGGGAAAAAAGAAGACTCGATAAGAATAAAAGAAGAGCTTCAGTGGAAGAGCCATCTAATGGCAATAGAACAGACAGAATAGAAAAAGCAGATGATAACTATACTAGCAAGTTAAATACGAATAGCCAGACAGTCAGTGCTAGAGTTAACTATGCTAGCAACTTAAATATGAATAGCCAGACAGTCAGTGCTGCATTAAACAAGATAGTAGAGCTATATGGAGACAGATGCAAATTAAATGAAGCTGATGCAAATGGCCTGTTCACAGAGGACAACTCGTTTGCTGTCTCAGTTACCGAGCACTTAGACGAAATTTTTATTACTTTTGGAAGAGACTCTTTCACACTATTCAGCATAATAGAATTCCTGATTTCCCCTGTGGAAAGCAGAAAACCTTATTCATACAGCTGTGATGACAAATTGAGTGTAGTAATAGGTAGTTCTTCTGAGCTGAATAGTGTTTGCAGTGATAGTATGCTGAACATTATGCTGACCTTCATAGACCTGCAGGAGAAAGTACAAAACAAAATGGTTATGCTAAACTTTGCGCCTTCTGCTAACTTTAAGTTTTCAAGGTTCAAATATTTTAGCAATGTGGATTATATCACGATATTTATCACAACCTTGCACTCTAATACGTTTAAGGACATGGAGAATTTTGAAGAACTTAAAAGCTTGACAATTGCTAAAGGAACAAAGCTGGTGGGTGATACGGGTGTAAAGGTTAGCATAGCCAAATTATCAGATATAGCAATGATAGAAATGGAGGAAAAAGAAGTTGAACACTTTTTGCATGCTGTAGATAAAAAGTATAATGATTTTGTATTATCAATTATCAGAGTAAATTTAACCAATACTCAAGCAATTTCCAAGCTATCCTGTCTGTCTTCTCTATTCCAAATAGACTTACGCAGTATAGTCTTTAAAGAAATTCCAGACTTCACGTTCATCAAGAAAGCTACAGGTCTGACAACTCTACATATGGAGGACATATTCTACGGGTATGAGGAGAAGTACGAAGAAAGTTCATTCACACAAATTAGAAAAAATATAGAGTATTTGAATGTAAGCCAAGTTCAGAGAAAATATAGTACATACTCTGAACAGGAAAAGAGAATTATTGACGAAAATAGGAAGGTGGGAGAGTCCATTAGAGCAATGTGGGTCTATATGAACAAAAATATTTATGATGACTTAGGAATTAGCAGTCTTAGTCCAGATGTAAGCATGGCTCCTTATATACAGATTGTGTTTCCTCTTCTTAAAGACAGTAACTTCTCTAACGTAAGCTCCTATGAAGTTCTGTTTAGCATGGAAGCAGACGGCAAGAGATTACATATAGTAAGTGTTGCAGATTCATATTGGCCAGACTATCGGGCTTTTGCCTGCCTCAGTGATTTGGTTTTTCCCTTTGGCTCTTACATGGCCACCAAGCATATTTTCTTCCATTTTGAGCACGAGATTAAGATATCTGAGGTTTTTATGGACTTTTTCATAGAATCAGTATATCTATATCCACACTCTGATCTTTTTGAAAACATAAAGATTGAGACAAGTAACACCATAGATGTGGATATAAACACTATTATTGAATATGGCAAAAAGTTTAAAGGGTTAGCACATATGGAGTTTGTCAATGTTGAGCTAGCGCAGACGATTATTAAAAAAACAAATGAAGAAGGAGTAGATGACATGCCTAAGTATGAAGTATGTACAAACAGCAATGGCATTATAACAGATATAAAATTCCTTAGAGATAACTAAAAAGTGCTCATTCATTCCATTACATCTCTACTCTACACTAGCTGTTTTCGCTAAATAAATTTGCATTTGTGTTTCTCTCAATATACTTTCAAAGTCTACTTTTTTAAAATAAAAGTTAAAATGCACTGCTTTTATGTACACAAAGAGAGCTGGTAAATAGTTTAAAAATACTTTGAACAGCAGAACCGAAATATAAAGGAACTTTTAGAACATAGCGTATTGTGTTAATAAAAGATGTTCACATAATTGGTAGACAGTAAACTTCAACAATTCAAAAAGATTGTTTTTATTGAACGATTTGCTGGCTGTAATAGCATGTCTTATTACTGCAGTATCATTGGCTCATGTAATGCAGTAATTTGATGGCTTAAATATGGCTTGCAACCACTAAGCTATGCCCCTTAAGAATAGAAAATTTATAATAGGATTTTTCATTATAGTCGTGATCATAATAATTTGTCTAGGGATTTGTGCGAAGAGACAATTTGATAAAGTTAAAGAGCTGTCGAAATTGCTAGATGCTATAAATAGAGTATATAAATGAGTTATCCATTAACCAATGTGATAACAGACACTGACAAATGATATGTAATTTTGAGGATTCATAGCTATTGGTTCATGCTCTACAGCAGTTTGATGGCTATAAATATAATTTGTAATTATTAGGCCATGCCCCGTAAGAGTAGAAAATTTATAGTAGGATTTTTCATCATAGTCGTGATCATAGTGATCTGGATAGGGATTTGTATGAAAAGAGAATACAACAAGGATAAACAGCTGTCGAAAACCATGGATGAATATAATACGATGCTTGTAAAAGAAAGATTAGCTGCCCGCTCTGCTATGGGCAATTTATACATGAGCACCCAGACAGTTAGTGAGAACTTGAACAAAATGGCAGGCCAGTATGGCAGTTCTTTTAAGTTTCTGGGAGCTGATGCAGATGGACTCTTTACTAAAGACAATTCATTTGTTAAATTAGTCACAGAACACTTAAAAGAAGACGTTCTCAGATTTGGAGGCGATTCTTTTACACTAGCTAAGATAATAGAATTTATGGCCTCTCCAACAGATAAAACAAACAAATATTTATGCAACTATAACGAGGATCCTAGCATGGGAATATTGGTTCCTCCAAGGTTAACCAACTGTAGCGATGACATTTTGAATATTTTATTGACTTTTGTAGACCTGCAAGAGAAGGTGCAAAAAAAAATTGTTATACAAAATGCTGAGCCGTCCAGTGACTTCAAGTTTTCGAAGTTTAAGTACTTTGAAACGGCAGAACATATTACAGTGAGCAATGTGTCTTTGCACTCGAACACTTTTAAGGACATGGAGAATTTTGGAGCTCTCAAGAGTCTGAGAATCACCAAAAATACAAAACTAGCTGGCAGCACAGCTGCAAGAGTCAATATAAACACTTTAGAATCTTTTGCAATAATAGAGATTGAAGAGAAAGAGGCTGAGCACTTTCTGCACTCTATAGATGTAAGCAGTGCAAGTTTCGGTCTAGCCATTAGCGATGTAAATCTAATCAACGCTGAGACAATTTCCAAGCTAACGTATCTATCTTCTCTTAGCAAATTAGAATTGTATGGAATAGTGTTCAAAGAAGTGCCTGACTTTACTTTCATCAAAAAGATTAGGAGTCTGAACACGCTGATAATGCTAGACATATTTTATGCATACAAAGAAAAGTATGAAGAAAACTTATTTTCGCAAATTAAGAAAAATGTGATTTACTTGAACATAAGCCAAGCGGCGAGTAAAAGCAATACATACACTGAAAAAGAGAAGAAGATTATCGAAGAAAACAAAAAGATAGGGGAGTCTATCAGCCCAGCATACGTCTATATGAACAAGAATCTTTATCACGACCTAGGGATTAGCAGCCTCAAGAGGAACGAAGACACGTTTATAAACGTTATATTTCCTCTTCTTAAAGACAATACTTTTGCCAACACAATAACATATGATATAAGCTTTAGCATGGACTTTAAAAAGAACCATCTAGATATTGTAAGTTCTACAGTCTCTAATGAGATGGACATCAAATTTCTTGGCTATATAATCGGTTTGCAGTTTCCTTTTAGCTCTTACACAGAACTTAAAAGCATAGGGTTGGAAGTACACCATAAAAACGAAGCATGTGAGCCATTTATGAACACTTTTATGAGATCGATATGCCCATATTCAAGCTCTAAATCTATCGAAAATCTGTGTATCAAGTCAAAAAACAAAGCAAATATAGATATAAATACTATCATCGAGTGTGGTAAGCTTTTCAAAGGCTTAAAGACGATAAGAATTCAGAACAGCAACATAGCACGAGAATTCATCAGAGACACAAATAAAGTAGGAGTGGACGGCACTCCTCAGTACGATATGCATACAAGTAACGATGGAGAAGCAATAGAAGTAGAATTCAATAGAGATAACTGAAAAGATGCTCATTTATTTCATTGCCCTCTGCTTTACACTAGATGCTAACACCAAATAAACTTACATTTGTGTTTCTCTCAATATTACTTTAAAAGGTCTGCGCTTATAGCGTATAACTTGATTCAAAAAACATAATAACTTTTATTTTATTTTTGCCCTATCATTGCTGCAATGCTTCCAAACACCTCCATTTACCTTTTTTGCGGCTCTACTTCTTTATCTGCTTATTTTCTACTATCTCTCATTTACCATACTCGTGGTATAGATACTTGAATATCGATGCTATTTTCAAGCTGATGCCCAAGATGCACACGCACAGCATGGCAATCTGCGAATGTTTTCTGCTTTTGCTGCTACCTACAAGGCCTTCGATGTATTTAAAATAGTGCTGTGTTGTGTAGTTGTACTTTTCTATTATTCTCACTTTCGTTTTCCCCTTTGCCTCAGCGGTTATGAATATCCTGCACAGCGTGCCTCTCGAGTGGTACTCTATCAGAATGGCATTTTTGTTCACTGAGTACACCTCGTCAATGAACTCGTTTGAGAACTGGATGGTCCTTCTGTTCGTGTATGTCTTTACCTCTATTTCGTCATTTGTCAGCGTTTGATAGAACTTAACTGTGCTGTGTGTGTTTACAATGCTCCTTACGAGCTTCCTTAGCTCGATGTCAAATACTCTCTCCTCTTCAGACATTGCTCTTTCTTCCACCATTTCGTTCGGCCTGGGAATGTCCACCTGGAATATGCTTTTTACATTTGAGGGCAGGCCCATTAACTTTTGCCAGTGCAGCAGGGCAATAGGGTATGCCTCTTCCTTGTAGAACACAGACTTAAAACTGTACGTTTTGTCGTATGTGATTATCTCCAGCGATCCCGACAGAATCATCGTGGTTTTCAGCTCAATGGCTATGATGTTTCGGATGTTTATGATGAGGGTGATGCGCCCGAAGAAGTTCTTCGAAAAGAATGAAATGTGTTCATTGCTGATGTACATCCTGCCCTGAAAGTACTTTGAATTGTCCTTTAAAATGCAGGGACACGAGTATTCCAGCCCTTCATTTTTCGGGATGGATTTGAAGAGCTCGTGGAACTTCTCGCGTCTCTTCTCAGATGGCAATTTCTTTTTACTATTTTCATTCATTATTTATTTGGAATAAAATATTTACATATTTCCCATGTGCTATAAAAATGTTTTGCAAAAGATAGGCAGAATGACAGCAGACACTTAAAGCTTATCTTGCATCTAGGGCGAAGATATCCAAAGGGGGATTGATGGCTGCTTGATCAACAAGTGAAGAGAGCGTAATGATGGCTAGATCAAAGTGTCTATTGGCTAAACCACAGGTCTAATAAACACCATCTGTTTCTGTTACCATGAAAAACAAACACAGAATATTGGCTATAATAAACAGCAATAATTTAGGCTGTGCGAGTGCTGAAGACTGTTCTCAATATTTTAAGTTCCATAAATGTGGAGCACTTTTATTTTTTAAGGCCATGCATAGCTCTGCGCAGAACGTTTCGGAAATAATGAAGATACTAAACAAAGAAAGAGGTAGGTG